ACGTGTATCGCCGTACCCGGACGCCGCACTGGCTCAGGAAGAAACGTGGAGGCCGGGTGTATTGCACCGGCGCCAGCTCTATCGGATGTAGCTTCCACTCCCTGTAGCTCGTGCACGTTCGGTCGCCTGTGAGTCCTGGTGTCTTTTCTCCCTCACAGAAGGGCTGCCGACTAGTCCCGGGTGAAGTGGGAGGCAGCTGTGGTTGAGGAAGACTCAGGTCCTGCGGTAATACAGGAGGCAGCGTAGGCTGTCGCTCTACAAAAGAATCCGTAAGCTCGGACTGACTATCAGGCAGGAGGTCCTTTCCGCAGTCAGAGCGGGCCGCGAATCAAAATCTTCTCGCCGTGCGCCGTCTTATAAACCCCACTCACTGGATTTCACTTGCTGGCGCCGACTCCCGCTCGAGGCCGCCTCACGGCGAGCCTTCGGGGCTCGCGCGGTGCTCGCGCGCGGGTTTTACGTGCTCCGCGCGTGAGAATTCGTTCGCGCGTCTACCGGGTAGTTCGCGCGTAATTGTGGTGGTTTCTCGAACCGCCACATTATTATTTAAATACTTAACATAAGAAATTACGGTTACAATATATATACTATTGGTATACATTTGAAGACTAATTTTCTCTTTACGAAGATCGCATAAACAAAAATTAATATTTATGATTAAAAATGTAATAACACATGTAAATATTTAACACTAAATGTAAAGTTCTTATTATATGTATATTGAACATTATACATAAATGTAAACATGAGTGTGTGTGTTGTGTGTATGACATATATACATATATATATCAATCACTTTCATCGGACGCATCAGGATCTTCCGTTTCAAAAATGCCATCAGTATCAAAATGATCATTGGAAACAGCGTCTTCAGAACACATTTCTTCCGTTTCCGCTGTTCTTTTATCTTTGGTACTTCTCAAATACTGTCGTTTTGCCGCACGAAAAACTTCCATTATTTCTAATTTAAATTCCGCCCTAGTTTCGGGCCCTTTAAAATTTGGACATCTTTTAGCTGCATCTAAAATACATAATAATATTTACACATTATTGATATTTAAAGAATCAAAATATTCATATTTTAACATATGTAGCGTATATTATGCTTTTATAAAACGGAAAATACATACAAAAAATACTTTTGCAATCTGTGTATTGTAAAATGCTAACGATTCTTTTGTTCGACCCCAATAAGTAAATTTACATGTTAGTTCATCTGTCATTGTTTCTTTTTGGAAATGACTGAGAGCTTCTCTCAACTTTATGCCGCCAAATTTAAGATATGTTAGCTGTAATAAATTTTCATAATTAGTTTATAATTATCTGTTTTTTGCAAAAAATCAATAATATATAATATATATAGATCAAGCATTTCTATACCTTAGTACAGCAGCATGTAAAGCTGGAAGTTGACAGTTTACTGTGACAGATAATTCCTTTATAAGGCTTTATAGAATTGCTTTACAACTCTATATCATTTTATCTTATAAGATGTCAATTGTGAGATATCTGTATTTTAGCATTTAATTGTGTAGCCTTATCTGTAATAGGACTATTGAGACAGCGAATATAGTGACATCTTTCTATTATAAGATAGAATGAGATGGCAAGACTTAAAAAACAACTATCTTTCTGGGATGGGCATTTTTGGACACGAGCAATTGGACAAAAACCACTCCTCACATCAACCGATGCTTATAGGTAAGCAGCATGATTGGCCAATCAAAGACTATTGTCCAGTCGAGCGTGTCTAAACTGACATCATCCTCTTTCTTAATAACTGTTAATTCCGGTTTTACTTGTTGGATGGAATGCTTGATCCATTATTATGTCCATCATGAAGTCCATTATAAGATATGTCGTTGGAAAAATGCATATCAAATACCAATTCTTGCTGACGATCTATATCGGTTTCTAGTTCCTTAAATTCTTCTACCGTTTTCAAGGGAAAACCATCTGGTCTTTTATATAACGTGTTCGCATCGTCAATGTATGATGTTCTTTTAAAACTTTTATATCAGATAATATTATAGAATTTTGCTTTGAGTAATATACAATAAGATCATTTATTTTATTACCCCACACATACACACACACACACAGCAGGGAGGGTTTGGAGTCAAAAAATACTACGGGAGTGACGAACCGTGGGGTCCTTATCTCTGCTGTGACACATAAAGATTTTTGTTCACGGAGCTTTTCAAGGTCATTCAAAATTCACAAATAATGTCACCAACTAACAGATTTTGTAAAACCCTACTATGTGTGTGTGTTTTTTCAAACATTTTTCAAAAAAATCAATACCTTCCGAGATTTGACTATTCGGCAGTCCGAATTTTTCATGTTTGACTGGATATAACTCGATAACTGTCTATTATTGAGCTTTGTGCCCATTACATCTTTTGTTCAGTAGGTCATAAGCTACAACATATGTAAAAACCAATTGATTTGACCGGGACAGATTTTCCATATGATTAGTACGGGGTTCTTTGAGATATCGGATCAATTCCACAGCAATGATGCAGCAACATTTTGCAGTGAATTTGCAAAGTTGCAATATTGCGGTGAAAGATTGCTACAATATGTATGCAATCTTTGTGTGCTGTATGGGAAAGCATAAATTATAGCAAGTGTTTCTAATTAAAATCTAAGATAACGACTTTCAGTATCAGAAGTTCTTTTCCAAAATACAAAATACAGGAATGAAATTTCCAAAATACATAAAAATTTCCAAAATACAAAAGAATACAGGATGAAATTTCCAAAATACATAAAATTTCATATCCGACTTTCTTTGCATCAAAATTGCACCATACTCTAATAAACTAGCATCGCAATGTAATTCAGTTAAATCTTTTGAACTATAAATAGCTAATAATGGAACTTGAACTTAAATTCTATTGTTTCGAATGCCTCTAATTCTTTAGCACTAAATTAAAAAGGAAATTAGGCTTAATTGTCTCATACAACGGTTTGGCAATAAATGCAAATTTTTTTATAAATTTCCGAAAGTAAAAACTAAAACCAATTAAACTTTGTACATCTTTAATATTTCGAGGAATAAGAAATTTTTGTATAGCTGCTACGCCATTCATAGTAGGTTGTATTCCTTCTTTTGTAATTAAATAATCCACATATTCTATTTTTGTCGTTAAAAATTCACATTTATCCAATCTTAATTCCATTTTATTTTGTATTAATAATCGGAAAACGTGTTTCAGGATTTTAATTTGATGTTCCAGCGTCTCTAATACAATCAGAATATCATCTAAATAGACTGATACATCGCCTGATTCTATTAATATACAAAATACATCATCTGGAGTACCAATATCTACCAAGGTATTTAAATATTAAATATAATTAATATTATTATTGCTTATCTGGTAAGTAACATTCTTCTGGAAATTGTCTTCCTTAACCACGTTCTCGATATTAGCAATTTCTTTTTTTTTGCCCTTTCTTGGAACAGTCCTTTGCCACGTTCAAGTTCTCGACAGGTAAAACAAGATCTTTTCTCGCGCTTAGGTTGTCTGCATTGATTAATGTGATGACCAAATTTATTGCAGTTGTAGCATTTATTGCCTTTGATAAACTTATATTCTTTTTGCTGATGTCTTGAGGTTCTTATATTCATCTTCGCCTCACTTTTAATCGTTTCTACTTTGTAATTATTATCGGTCGCTGATTTTAATCGGTGATTTAAACCAGTATCTGATCGAATTGTGACTTTCTTAAATGCGTAATAAATTAACATCTAAAGCATTGCAATTGCTGAGTACGGATATTGCAAAATATCGCACATTCCACTCTCAGAAACGAAGAGACGTAAAAAACATACAAGGACATGCGACACGAAACATGACTGTTACAACAACTACACAAAGACAGACAGCACCATTACAATATTCACAATCTCCAGTATCATCATCCCTGCATGCTTCATCATCATCATTCTCACGTGCACAATCATATGAACACATGCCTTCTCCATCAGTACAACATAGAAACATTTCATCACGCTCTTCTTCATCAGTCGCTCAATCATTTGTACGAAACATTCCTCTAACATCAAAATCATCACCACAACGCAAACAAACATCATCACTCTCTTCTTCGGCCGCCCAATCATTAGCACAAAACATTCTTCCACTATCAAAATCCTCATCACAGCTGAAACAAACATCATCACGCTCTCTTTCACCAGCCATAAAATCATTCACACAAAACATTCATCCACCATCAAAACCATTATCACAATATAAACAAACATTATTACGACCATCTCCATCACCATCTTCATCAACTGTACAACGCAATTTACGCCTATTACCAGTCAGAGAAAATAGCCAAGAACATAAAGAAGAAGGGACACCAGATGAAAGAATATCCCACGATATAGTGCGGTCTTTAAAGTAAGTTTCAAAAATAATTACAAATAAAATAAAATAATAACAAAGATTGTCTATGTGTCTGAATGAAAACATTCATTTTATTTCAGAATGATCATGACGCAACTACGTCGTAGAGCGACAAATTTCCATCGAAAAGAAAACTGAGTAAACATCACTTGCAATAGTTACATAGTTATATAATTTAATCTTTATTCCTCTCAGGCTTTCATTAGATATTATTATTTATTATTGAGTTTATTATATTATTGTTAGATATTATCGAGTTTTAAAATAATTAGAAAAACTTGTCTTATTTTGGTTTAGGCTTTTCCAGTTCAGATTTTATTTATTCTTCCTCGAGTTGTTATTTTTTCATCTCGTTCATTTCTTTTATATTATATTTTATCGATATGTTGCGTTTGGCAAACAGGCGTAGTCGCAAGCCTTATCATTTATTATCTGCAGCCCATCGTCGTTGTTTGGCAAAATTAGAAAGAACTGCACGTAATGAATACGAATGTATACAACAGCAGAATTTAGATCTTGCTAGAGCCGATTCAGATTTTGTCAACAAAAAACAAATTCTTGCGGAACGCAATCAGACTAAAGAGGATGAAATTTTTGTATCTTCTGATGCATCAGTTGATGATGTGCAATTTACTTTTAATGAGATCGATGAAGTATTAAATTCTTCAAACGTTGAATCCGTTAATGAATCCATTTCAGATTATGATAATGCGGTAAATATTGAGTCTCAAAATACTATCGATAATTTTCAAGAACGCCTTGCTGAAACTTTCGTATGCAATGATATGTCTCATACGCAAATAAACGCTGTTTTACAAGTTGTTCGAACACATCCTTGTTTATTTACTTTGCCAAAGGATAGTAGAACGCTTCTAAAAACTCCACGGACCGCGCACTCAACACTTAACATTGCAGGGGGTGAATATCTTCATTTAGGAGTTGAGACAGGAATTCTTTTCATTCTTCAACAAACCTCTCCGGAATTGATTCCACTTGATCCTTTAATGATAGACTTTAGCACAGATGGTGCAACACTAGATGGGCAGGGTAAAATTCAAATCTGGCCAATACAAATTAGAATTGCAAATATTCCTCGAAGTAAACCCGAAATCGTAGGCATCTGGAGAGGTTCATCGAAACCAACTAATGCGCAGGAATTATTCCAATATTTTGTGGATGAAGTTCAGGATATATTTAATCGTGGAGGAGTTGTTTTTCGTAATCAATTAAAACTAATTAAATTGAGGTGTTTCATAGCTGATTCCGGACACCTTGTATATATATTTTATATATTTTTTATTATATATATATAATTTTAATTAGATATATGATATTTTCAATTATATAAGTTATGTACATATATACATATACACATATACATTATATACATATATATTCCAAACACAAGTATATAATTAGTAATAACATAACATCAAATGTTTTAATTTTTTATTAATTATTACGAGAGAAAATATTTCCTCGTACAATGTAAATGTTTGTACAAATGTTTGACATATTTCTGAAATGTTTAATAAATAAATTTTTTATAATAAAGTAATTGTTTTTTTTAAATATATGTACAACTTTTAATAATAAAATCAAAAGAGAAAAAAGGAGAAAGAAGCCAGTACAAAAAATATATTCTTGTTCTGGTACTCTACTGGTACTGTAACAGTACAGCGTACGATCGTTAACCCTACGTCAAGTGCACTGTGGCGTTACGGTAGCCGCATACCAGTACGGCGTACTGGTAACGTACGCCTACGGTACGCACGTACCTGATAGTTACGGTACTGATACGTAGAGTACGACGTTCGTTCACTGTATTAGTACCGTGGAAGTATTTTGTTATCTGGGATAAATTGAGAATATAACATAATTGTGAATATAAAATCATCTATTTTTTACATAAATTTTATAAAAGTAATAATCGATACAAAACATAAACATAATAAATTTATTACAAATAAATATAACACATTTTTTAATAAGTTGAATTTCAATATTTGTTAATAAATTAAAAAATATGTACTTCATCTACAAAATTTTTAAAAAAGTATTTCTTACTGTATAACACATTATTATGAAATAAAATAAAAAGGCAATCTAATAATCGTGAACAGTAATTTATGTCGTTAAAAAATTCCTGCGTTTAATTGGGGACAAAAATATTGTGATGGAAAATAGTATTCTATTTTACTTTAGTTAATATATATGTATATATAGAGAACAAAAATTGTATGGTTTTGAGGGGGACATAAGATGGTGTCATTGGTTTGACCTTGAGTGAACGTGCCAAGATCATATGAAGTTCAACTTTATTTTTTTAAATGGAATCGCCTATTTTTTATTGCATATTCTTGTAGTTTTCAAAACACTATAATCAAGTATTTTTTCATTAAGTACTTTTTGAGTTATTTTATATTTTAATCTGACATATTTTGATATAAAAAATAAAATATCTCGTAAAATATTTAGTTTTCGATAATCTTACCGTAATACTTTTATGTACGAATGTTGGAATTTCGGAAAACGTAATCTCGGAAAAGTTTGCCAATCTGATTTTTCGATGGCCTCGTTCCCCATAGAGTGACTTTTACGGAAAACGGAATACTATTCTAATCTCAAACCGCCTTTTAATTTAGAAAATTTCTTCATTATCTTTTGTTATAATGAATAATACATCCAAATTTCACTTTTTTACGGATTCTTCTACTGTAGTAATTATTTTTTTGTTATAAAACAATGACTAAATTTTTCAAATTTTAAAAATTCCGGAAATATTAGTCCATTGGGAATCCAGTCACAAAAATTTTGGCTCGACAAGCACGCAATTTTTAACGATAACTATTTATAAAAAATAAGTATTGATAAAAAATTGAATATTTATATATTAATGAATACTTACCGAACAATATTTATCAACAATGAAATTTTTCTTATACACATAAGAATTCAATCCCGATCTTTTGTATTTAAACAAATCTAAATTTCTTCAAATAATACCTGATTGGTTGATCCCTATTCTATTATTTTTCCGAGATTCCGTTTTCCGAAGTTCCGACTGTCATGGGACGGCACCCTAAAGGTATGTGAAAAAATTTTAATCGTAACCATAAAGTCGTAAGCAAATCAACCAATCACAGTTAAACATTCTTGTTATGTTTTTGGAGTGCTTGATTGTGATTAGTCGATTTGCTTACGGCCTTACGATTACGACTAAAACTTTTTCATGTGCAATGGCTTTAAATGACAATCAATAAACTACGTGATTAGGAAGCTTCACGCGTTTGCGCGACATCTATGCACTCGAATCGATTCTTGAATCTGATCCGCACGAAAGTTTCCTCCGCCCGGTTCCATAGGAAAAAATGAAGAGAACGCGTGACATACAGGAATACACAGTTCATGAGCGTACTAGACAAGCCGAGACTGATATACATATATATAATAAAGCGCATATATATAGAGCGCATTATATATCATATTATTTTGTCTAGATATAGTATAAAGCCTAATACGATGCGCTTCTTCATGGTAAATCATACACATACGGCGCTGCAAAATTATTATATTAATTTATATACTGGCACTCTTGCGAAATTATGTGTCGTTGTTGTCGAAAAACAACATTTTGATACCTGACGCGAAGCAAATAAGTTTATTTGTCTTTACGCATGCACATGCAAATGCACACGCTAATAGTAATTATACATCGATCATGCAGTATATATCGATAAGAATGCAGTTGGCAACTTTCTCCGAAAGTGAAATCTCTGTTCAGCGAGAAAGTTAATAACGCGCCGCAAATAATTTAAACGCGCGTACAGATAATGCTCTCGCATGTTTTGGACATTTTTTTTCTTGTAGTTTGTTATATTTTATAAAGAATCATATCTCTGTTATATATGTTTGTATGTGTGTATAGTAATAAACTTTTTTTAAAGAAAATATATCTTTGTAGTATTATTCTCTTTTCTCAACTTTAATTGTATAGATTGTAAAGAAAGGCGTAAAATATGATAAGATGTAAATATGGTAAGATAAATTTGAAGCCCCCAAGGTTCTCTCAATAGAGAAAACGCTGTCCGTGTTTTTTAACACGAGTAAAACTATTCTAATGATCTAATGAATACTGTAAAAGAAAAGAATACTGTCAAGAAAGAGATATATATGATTTTGCAATGCATCTTGATAATATCAATGTTTGCTGCTTAAACAAAAAGATGATGATTAAGCAAATAACTTGATGCTTTCAAATTGAGAAACAACGCTTCTCGGCTTACAGAACTAAGATCGCTTTCAATATTGCAATTCTCTTGTCATTTGACAGGATTTGATTGACGAACATTGTAGAAAAATCCTGATGTATATAAAATATTCTTAATTATTCTATAAAGAAGAATGGAACAAATTAATATGTAATTAATTTTATACGAAAGATTAGTAATTTGTCGAAATCGAGAAAATTTGAATATATATATATGTATATTTAACATTATTCGCACAAGTAATCGCGAGATAAACATACGTTTCAACATCGAGCAATATATATATACAAGCGGGATACGCGCATATATGTATAGCAAATTTATATATACAATATCTTTGTAGCGCGAGTATGAAAGTATACACGAGTTTCATCGTAAACGGGAAAAAGGAGCAGGACCAGTAAAAAGTAACCCATGAGTCGTCAGTGGGCCATGGAATTCAAACGGTACGAGGGCACATTCATTTCTTCGCAAGTCGCGAATGCAACAACATCCGAGTGTGTGTGAATACGCTGTATCTGCATCTTGCATTTGCAAATCTTAATATTCGCACGATAATTCGCATAGTGATATTCAAGAATCGAGTAAGTGTCAGATACAGAATTTTCATATTAGTGTTTTTCTCTTTTCTTTTTGTTTTTAATTATTAAATCTTTTACAGTGGCCAAAGAGTCGTTCGTGTTCTCGACCATAGAGGACGAGAAGGGAGAGAAGTTGGACGAGATGTTTGGGGTGAAGCCGAGTTTCTTAAGAATATTACCCGGTCGTTGCTTGTTGCCACCGAAAATCGTCTTTTACGCGCAAAAAATACGCGACTTTACCGTATACGAGGATGACGTTTGGATGGTCTCGCATCCTCGTACTGGTAATAATGCGTAATTTTAAAGATAAAGCATAATTATATATAGGATGTTCTATAATATGTGGGAGTCACTTCAGAAATGGATTTAGCACTTTAGACTTGTATATACAATACAGGGTGAGTTTTTTAACATGAAACTGTAAAATATCTGGGAAAGTAAGCTTTATCGAAAAAAATGTTTCAAACAAAAGTTGTAGGGTTCGGAGGGGGCCACATGATAAAAATATGGATTTGACCTTGAGTGACCTTTTTAAGATGAGATCAATGTGATCGACGTTTTCTTAAATGGAAAATAAAATATCTCGTAAAATATTCAGTTTTTGATAATCTTACCGTAATACTTTTGTGTACAGAATAATGAGACAAATCAATTAGTATAAAAAAAAA